CCGCGCTGCCAGCGGCCATAGGTTCTCCTCAACTCCCGAGCCCTTGAGCAACGTCTTGGTCAACCGCTTGATGAAGCCAACCTCCGCCTCAGCTCGTCCATTCATCTTCCACGAGCTCCCGTCCGTAAAAGTCCGCATGATGAGGCGTTCCATGGCCCATCGCTTGGCCTTCTTAGACGTGAACTCACCTGCTCGGTCGCTGTGAAGTCGCCTGACAGGTAGTCCATGATAGCGCAGCTTTGTGGTCATCTTCGCAATGGCCTCCAGCGCTTCCCCCCTAGTTTTCACGATCTCCACCAGGGTGAGCTGTCGGACCTCAAAGTCCTTCTCTTCTTCAATCTTCTTCAACCACTCTTCCCCGTCATCCGGAGCTGGTCCTTCCTCCTCCTCCACTACTTCCTCATCTCCCGCCGGGTCAAGCTCCAAATCACCTTCCCCCGGCGGTCCCTCCAACTCTCCATCCTCCTCCTGGTAGTAGAGCACCGTGAAGATGTTTCGTTCCTTGTCGATCTCCGTTTGCATCGCCTTCTGATCTTCTCCGATCATGCTCTTGGACTCCAAGATCTCGTGAGTGTCCAGGTCCACCGAGAGCCTCCACTTCACGAACCTCCATGCCGGTCCTCCAGCTCCCGTGCCCTTCAACTTCACGACGTCATAGTCCCGCTTCTTCCACCTCTTCATTTCCCTTACCACCTCCGGTACTTCTCCTTGTCCAGGCCCTTCCAACCACGTCAGGCGCTCCGGGGCCAAGTCCATGAGCATCCGGCCCTTCCTGGTCACCGGAACCGTGTAGGTGCCGACGACAATATACCGTCCCACACCTTCTTGATCTCGTCCAGGCTTGAACGGCCCCGCCAGGTCAATCGCCAACGTGTAGCTCTCCGGGCTCACCACTCTCCGGTGGTACCGCGCCTTCCCTGCCCCTTCCAGGCATGTCCGGCATCCTCTGTGGAACGGCAAGTGGTCATTCGCCAGATGGGCCCGCCACTGCTCCGCACTCAACCGCTTCAGCTTCACCTGCTCCACGGTAAGGCGCACCGCCATGGCTATGGCCTTCTTCATCCCTGGCGCCCAGGCAGCCCATTTCTTTGACGCCGCCATCCTCGCCTCCAGGTTCGTCTCCATCGGGCCCTTGTCGGAGCCCGCTCCTCGAACACCGTCCAGCTGCTCGAGCATCTCCATGTTCGTACCAACCGTGGTAGGCTTGGTCTTCACGTGGCCGAAGGGTCCTTGGTCAAAGTGGTACTCCTTCATCCCGTAGGCCTCCTTGAATTTCTTCCACTCATCCCACGCCCAATACGAAGGATACCTTTCCCGCCCTTCGCCTCCATGGTCCTTGCCCCCCACGTAGGACTCCGGGTCTTGAGGGCTTTCATTGAGGAAACCCACCTTCGTGACCGTGGCCTCATCCGCAACCATGTAGAGCAAAAACATCCGCACCCACAGGACCGTATCACCATCCACCTTGTCAAGCAAGACCTGAGGCAGGTTCTTCCGGCCAAAACGCTCCTCTCCGTCCCGCGTCCTCAGTGGCGGCGGCCCCGGCTGCAAAGATCGCATCCTGGACACTGTGCGGCAGGGCGGACCCCCAATGATCATCTTCACCTTTCCCGAGGCACACAGCTCCATCAAGTAGGACATCACATTGTCCTTGCCGACGTCCTACCCTTCTCCCAACTCCAGGTCAACACAGAGCACGACTCTATCGGTCGTTTCAAGCTCCTTCTCCCAGAACTTCGCGTCCGGGCCGGAGAAGAGATGCAGCACAACCTCCTTGGCCTTCTGAATCCTCCTCCTCGTCCGCCGGTTCCAGGGCAAGTGATTCCATCCCGACCGCGGTGGCAACCTCTCCAGCACTCGCTCCGGTACTTCTGGAAAAAGCTCTCGCAACCTCCGAAGCCACTTGACCGAGTCGATGCCGACTTTCTCTTCCTCCTGAGCCGTCAAGGCCTCACCGCGTAGCGCCATCAACCTCATCTGGTACTTTAGCGCCTCCATCTCCAGCTCCCGGATGAGCTCCAATCCCAACTCCTCTTCTACCGTGGGACACCCTCCCTCCAAGGCAGTGTCAAGGATCTGCCCATGCTGGTCCATCAGCTCAAAGCGATCCCCCTCCCACTTCACCGAATAGCCCTTCTGGACCAGGTAGCCCAACGGCACAATTGGCTGCACCTCCTCCATAGTCAGCAGCGTCCTCGTCCAAGGAATGAGCCTCAAAGATACGGTCCCCTGTGCCAAGTGCACCTCCACCTCCCGGGCCTCATCCCACTCCTGCACCGACAAACACTGCCGTAGGCTATGCGTCGCTCCTCCATCCAGCAAGGCCCTTTTGTTCTTCACCTCCAGGGAACTCAGCTGGATCTTCTTCAATTCCGGTCCTCTCAAACTCTTCAACAGTCCCGCTGCCTCTTGAATGAGTCCCCTCACTGCTTCCCCACTACCTCCGTCCGGCAGTGGCCCATTCCCCTTCCTCGACGGCGACCCTCCACCTCCTGTAGTAGACACCGCCGTCTCCATTTCCACCTTCTTGACGATCTGGCCCTTCGCATCGGTCCCGTCGTAGGTCTTGGCAGCTCCGCCATTTCCCTCTCGACTCCTCCGCGTCTTCACCGGACAGTCTTTTCGGGTGTGTGAGGTTCCTCCACAATTCCAGCAGCGCCCTCGCTTGTCCCCGTCAAACTCATGCCGGTAGGTGCAATCTGCTCCCTTCTTGCATCCACCGTCCGTGAGGAAGAATCTGCACGTCGGCGCCGTGGCGGCATCCTTCCCCCCTCCATCTTTGCCTTTTCCTCCTCCTTTGCCGAAGTCCTTGGGCTTGTCGGGAGTCCCTCCTTCCCCAGCAACCAAAGCCTTGACCTTCGCCGCCGTCCCTTGAGCCGTGCTGTGAAAACCTGCTTCCGCTTCCGCCAGCACCACGTCCGCAAACTGCAGCACCGAGTCCACCACCGGAGCCACGTCAATCCTTAAGCCCGCTCTTGCCGAGTTGAGCCGGAAAGAAGTTTGAGGCGAGGCCTTGACAATCACCCCCACATACTTCTCCAACGCTCCGACCAGCAAGGTTGCATCTGGGGTGGCAATCTTGAGCTCCTGGGCTCTCCGAAGGTAGCGCTTCCACGCCCTCAACTGCTCCAAGGCCTCCAACATAGACGTAGGTGTTCTGGGATCCACGAGCTGCCTCAACAACATTGCCCGTTCTCCCAGGCCACCAGGTTGGTACCGCGTGAAAATCCGGAACAACACCTGCACGGAGGAGGTGGCTCTGTTGGCGAGAATCTCCCCTTTCAATGATGCCGGTAACGAAGCCAGCAACATCGACTGAGCCCGCTGCTCAATCCGGCCCCACTGACCGTTCCCATCACCAACTCCCTGCGGTTGCACGTACAAACGCTCCAGCGGCTCCGCCCTCAACCATTGAACGTAGGCTTCCGAGGAGAACTTCACCACCTCATCCCACCATTGACCACTCCTCGCCGACAGGTCCCTCATGATTGGGTTGATCAGAGCGAGCCAATCGCCCACCACCATCGAACCCAGCTCTCCTTCTTTCACCTCTGGCAAGGCCGGAAGCTCCACGGACCTGATGTTCTCGTTGTTTGCCATCAATGACCCCATCCAAATCGGGATCTGTCCTCCTCCCGCTCCAGCCGCCGGTTGTCCTTGACCTCCAGCAGGATGCCCAGGAGGTACTCCAGCACCTCCGGGATTTCCCGAATCTCGAGCAGGATGCCCTTCAGGTACTCGCGCCATGCCAGGCCAATCGCGCCCTCGTTCATCTGCTTGACGCCCACCAGGTACTCCCGCTACTCCATTCCCTCCGCATCTACCGTCTCCAGCTGCTAAGTGCTGTCGCTCATCAAACAAGTCACCTCCATGATGGCTAGCCGCATCTGACCATCCCACGCCTCGAGCGTCCGGTCCTCCGCGATCACCCAGGTCAGGAAACAAAGGCAGTCCTTCACGTCCTCGATCCCCACCTGCGGAAAAACCCACTGCAGCCAAACCACCAGTTCCAGCAGCTCCTGCCATCGGCCTCATTCCACCCCATCCCAGGGTAGTCATAGCCGCCGGCCCCTGACCTGACCGAAGTTGTAGCGCTCGCTCATCACCAGCTCCTTGTCCGGTCGCAGCTCCCGAAGATTCCAGATGTCCACCTCCGGCAGGTACTACGCCCTTCTGGCTCACTCTGCCAGGGCTTCCATAACTAGCACCTCCGTTGATCTGCTCCTTCATCTCCTTCAGCTCCGCCGCCATGTGCTGATTTTGAGCGATCAGGCCCTTCATCATGTCAAACAGTTCCCGAGGAACACCACCTGCGCTTTCAACCCGCCCAAAGTTTCCACCTCCTTCAGGAAGTTGAGCTCCTGCGTCACACAGCGCCAGCGGTCCCCCTTCTGGCTCCTCCACCGGCAGGTCCCGAGGCCTCATGGCCCTCAACTGAGCCTCCTCCTTGGCCTTCTCCGACCAAAAAGGGTTCACCACCGGCGCCGCCAAGTCGCTGCTCCTCAAGGGGCCATACGCCGTTGGCGGTCCTCCCGGTCCTTGTTCCTCCGCTTCCTGAACCGCCTCCGCAGCAGTCCTTGCCGAAGAGGACGACAGAGCCTCCATGGCTCAGCGCAGGTCGAGGGTTGGGCTCATAACCCACTGACTCCTAAGCGGGCGTTTGCTTTTCCTCTTGAGCTAAAAAGGGGCTGTCCCCGATCGATCGTTCAGCAACTTCCAAGACCAGGGATTGTTCCCCAGAAACATCTCATCCTCAAAGCGGATTTCAGGGGTTTGTTTCTTGTTGGAACATGGAAGCCGACGTGAGCAGTACTGTAGTTCTTTACCACCCTTGAGCAATCAGAAGATGAATCACGCCCTACTCCAAGTGTCTTCTGGATGTATGTTGTATGTTGAAACACGCGGTTTCCATGGTCAGGGGTTGACGTCCTACCCTGAAAAGGATTGTGTCGGCAGGGGGCACCCCGCAATACTATTGCTGGACCATCGATCGGCACCAGGCGGCGGGTGGGCGGGTTCTCTCTTTGTTCAAGTCGGGCTTCGTCCATCCCAACTGGCGCCAATCCATTAGATCGCGCGGACTTATGTTCGTCCATGCTGTGGCGTTTTTGCCAGAGAGATTCAAGGCCGATCTGTGAATAGGGCTGGGCTTTTCTGACGTGAGCATGCCCCCACATTCCCTGACTTAGCTTGCCTTTCAAGTGTTTGCCTTGCCCAGTGCTTCCAGTTATAGTAGGTAACCATGCATTCTTACCTTTATAGGTGTTACATGATGTTTTCCCCTGGTTGCCATGGTGGCTTGCCCGGAAGCACTGGCATGAGTCTGGAGACTTGTCTCAGTAGATTCCAGTTACCACTAGAATGCGTATCCACCTAGAGTCTCCATGACCCCTAGAAAAAGGGGTCATGACCCCTTAATTTTGGGCAATGACTCAATTTTTTAAGGGTCATGGAGAGTCTAGGCAGCCATGTTCCTTTTTGTTTTTCCAAGGGTGGCAAGGCCCTTGGTTGCCTACCATACCTGGAGAACACACTGCTTTTTGTCCGAAAGGCTTTGCCCAAAAAAACAATGTCAGAGAAGCAAACTAGCAGGGATACCGCGGAAGCAGGGATACGAGCAGTTGTGCAGTCAGTTGAGCGCTCGCAGCCCCATCATGTTTCGGCTCTGGCCTCAACACCATTGATCAGAAGGCTCGGTATTGTTGAAACACATGTTCCTTCTCACAGTCCCTCGGGCTCCGCGACAGGTTCATGGCCAGGACTCGCTGTGACAAACTCAGCATTCTGTCTAGGGCTGGCTGTGGACGTTGTGGCATTTCTTGCGCGTGTTTTCACTTTGTCCTCCTTTTAGAAGCTCTGTCTTTCCCAATATGTCTTGCTTCCCTGGAACTATTGTCCCGGCTTCAAGCAAAGAACATGTGTTTTGTTATGGCTATCCGCCTTACTGCCCAGGCCATTCTGCTTCGACCCGATTCAGCGCCTGGAGTTCAGAGTCCTGAGTGTCCAGAGTTTCAGCCGGGCGCTTGGCCACCTGCAGCTGTCGCGCCATCTTAGTTTGACTGCTTGCCATGACGTTTCTTCAGCCATAGCGTTTGTTTGACTTGCCACGTCTGTTTGGTTTCCGATTCGTTGAGCGCCCTGTGGTGGTGTCAAGACTGGTCCGCTGGCACGTGCTAGCTCGAGCTCAGACTGAGTCCTCAGAGTCCAGAGTCCCGAGTTCGCATTCTTTTCCAGTCATGGGCAACCAGACAAGCAGAATGCTGGTCGTCAAGAAGGAGGGCACACCCATGGAGGCTTTCGGCTGCAAGGAGCTCGCCTTGGCGGCGAAGGCAGCGGGCTCCGGGGACACCCAATGGGTCATGCTCTCCATCATCAACCAAGAGGAGTGCCGCCCCAGTGTGGTCGCGCTGCCCACTGGCAACTTGTCTGACAGCAAAACCTCTTTTTTTTAAACTGTGTCACTTAATTTTTGTTTGAAAAGCTAATCAGACCACAGGACCTTTAATGCCCTGTAAGGCCCCTTGGCCTGGGCGGCCTGCAGCTTGGACTCAGAGGTCTTGGCCCACTGTGAGTCCGTGGAAGAGTTGGCCAAGGGTAAGCTTGAGCTGACCTTCCCGGGAGGCTTGGTGTTTCAGCTCCAGCCATGCAAGCCGGACGAGTCAAGGTCTTCGCCCTCCTCAAGCACCGAGCAGATGGGCGCGGCAGGCGAATCCGGAACTGCCCCGCCGAGCCAGCGCCCGTTTCTGCGTTTGGCAGGAAGGCCTGCTGACTCCACGGGCAGCGTGCAGGACAGCGCGCAGGACAGCGCGCAGGCCAGCGCGCAGGACAGCGCGCAAGACGCCGCCAGGCCTCCTCCAGGCGGCCACGTCGAAAACACGTTGCAGGTGCGGCGGGCCCAGGCCATGGGCAACGAGAAGCTGGCGCTGGGTGGACCGACGCTGGATGCTGCGGAGTGTGACATTGACCTCACAACAATGCCGGTCAACGAAATTGAACGGCGCTTGATGCAAGGTGCTGAGATCCCCGGGTGGTCCGGGCATGGAAACCCTCAACGTGAATTGGGTTACTTGAAGCTCTTCTTCAGCGCGCGCACAATGGCCTACCATGCTGAGACCCTTTGGCCTGCAACCGAGCCTGATGCCGAGACACGCAGGCTGGTCCAGCAGCTGTCCGAGCAGTTGGCCCTCATGTCTCGGCACGGAGATTTCAACGGCTTGTCCGAGCAGTCCAACTTCGACATGAAGGTTGTGGCAACATGGACGCGGCACATGATGAGTGGGGTAGTCCCTCACGGGCCTTTGCTTGGTCATGCTCGCATGATGAAGCACGAGCTGTACTACCACCTCTGGTCCGAGGATCAGCCGCCATTTTTGATGGCGAGGGTGCCTGGCTTGGCTTACGCGCAGTACCTTGGCAGCCGGCCTTTTTGTTGGTGGTTCCGTCTCGCCTTGCTTTTTCCCTCAAAGTATAGCTAGGTGAGTGTAAGCAGGACCACATCCCCAGTGCCAGTAGCAGCCTTCCTTTTGTGACGAGGTACCCGTTCTTCGCGCACGCCAAAGACATTACGGAGGGGGTGAGGGAGCTCATGATGCAGACGGGTCTTTGGCGGGCACCAGCGCTGCGCATTCCAAGGACTATGGCACTTCCCTCACAGTCAGCCACAGACCTCAACGACTGCTTGCTCAACACGCTTTTCCCCGACAAGCAGGGCCTGCCGAAGCTGCCAGAGGGCATCCTGCTCCGAGTCCTGAGTCCAGAGGTGAAGGCTCACGCCCGCTACCAGTTGCTCGAAGGTGCTCCGCCGGCGGGAGGTGACTCGCTGTTTTTCGACAACGCGCCCAACCGCTCTTGGTACTTGCAGGGGAAGGTGCACTGGGCTTACTGCTTGCCGCTCGGATTTGAAGCAAGCTTTTTGTCCCTTGGGCTGCCCTGAGTCACAAGTGGTTCAGTTCTGACGGGCCTTGTTTCTGTTTGTGACACATGCCATGCCATCAGGACGCGGCGCGGCAGTGGCGGCCAGCTCTCCCTTGATTGGGTGAGGCGCGCGGATGTTCCAGGCCGTGACACCGAGTTTGGGGTGTTGGCGGTCTGTCCTGCGGAGGCGCCGGACTTGAACGGCTTCGGAAAGTTCCAGTATTTCAGGGGCGTCTACATCAGCGAAGGCGGCGTCCTGAAAGCTTTGTGGCTGGAGTTGGTCAACCGAGAGCACGTGCGTGGACGAGAACCCAATTATTTGCACCTCTTTGCGGCCTCGCAGGTGACCCCGGAAATGTTGAACAGTGTGGTGAACAGGGGCCCCGCCGGACAGGGCTTTGAGCAACGCAGATCCAGGGGAGGATGGGTCGTCCAGGGCCCGCGGCCAAAGCGGGTGTGCATGGGCGGATGGGTGTGGCAGGAGCCATACAATGGTGCTGTCACCTACTACCACGTGCCCAAGGATTCGGACACCGTGTTCACGTTCAAGCAGTGGTCCCAGGATGGCGCCTCCTGGCACTGGTCCGAGGAGACAGAGCAGTACGAGGAGGTGCATGAGGCCGACAACACTTGGCACTTCACCACGGTGGCCGAGTGGTTTGACATTCGCGACTTCATTGGGCGCCGTGGTGGCCAGGACCAGGCCGGCCAGCCCGAAGCCGGCCAGCCCGAAGCCGGCAACCAAGACGGCCAGGGCCAAGGTGGTGCCTGGGATCAGCCTGCCGGTGGCCAGGGTAGCTGGGGCCAATGGTAAGGGCTTTTTCCTGCAGCAGCAGGTCCAGCCGAGTAGCGGGCAGCTGGGCTCTTTTCGGTACAAAGTATTGCTTACTTAAGCATGTCATTCACATATGAACCTCTCCAACAGTCCCTTGTTCTGAGTCCAGAGTCCAGTGTCCAGATGCACGGCTGATTGAATCGCATTGCGCCTTTGATGCACTTTGCTTTGCAGGAGGACAAAAGTGAGCCCCCTCCAGATTGCCCAGTGTTGCAAACAACTTATCAGCATTGCAGGGCATGCGCACCTTGAAGAATTTTGCCCGTGGCCCAGGCTGAAGTTCCCTTTGGCGATGCCTGGAGGCACGGGTGCGGTCATTTCCAGAATTGGGTCTGTTGTGACTTCCCTTTGCGCATCGGGCAGCTGGTCCACCTTTATTTTTCTAGGTTTGTGTCCAAATGTGCTGCAGCCCCCCTTCAAAGTCCGATTGGAAGCGCACCACAAAAGGGCGTCCTCGACAAAAAAACCACTAACAACAGGCCACACAGGGCTCGTCTTTGGTTGTTGCTTCGCAGGACACGGACACCATGCCATGGCCCAGGCGCCAAGAAGGCCGTGCTGTGTTGTGTGTCGCACCAGCTGGCGTTGACCCACACGCGGCCCCAAAGTGTGTAGACAACCTGCAAAGGGGGGGGGCAGCTGTTTGTCAGTTCAGGGCACCGGCCAGTGGATCAAACGCAGATCGCGCCCACATCCCACAAATCCCGCCAGGCCGGGCAATCCGAACGCGATCCGGATGCATTTCTCTGCCCAGGCTCGGCCACTGGTGCCGTCAGTGATTTGTTAGGGGTTCCCACAACGGGCTGTTTGGGTGTTCCATTTTGCTCGTCTTGCTGATGTTGCCCTCTGATTCAACTGTCCCCCAAACCGGCCTCCACACCTGTAGTTAACGGGCTGAAAAGGCAATCCCTGTGGTATGACAGCCGTTTTAAGACTCGCTGCGTGTCGCTGGGGCAGCTTTCCATCTACTTGTAATCACAACTCACCGTAACCAACTTGCGTCGCAGCTATGCCTTTTTGAGTCGCCTTCCCAAGAGCCACGGAATCCAACTAACAGAAAAAGTTGGAGGATTGAATCAGCGCGCGAAAGGGTTTGTTGACTTGTCTCCAAATAGCAAGCCCCTTGGGGAAGCACCCCGCAACAGGGCGTCCAGGGCTCGTCTTGGGCTTTTGCCTTGCAAAACACGGACACCATGGCCCGGCGCCAAGAAGTCGTGCGTTGGTTGACCCACATTCGGCCCCACAGGGAGGGGGCAGCTGATGTGTCACCTCAACAAGCCACCATGTTCTTCCCGCCGCTTGCTTGCTTGCCCAAGGATCGCGCTCGGATCGCGATCAAGTTCCGGAAGCTCAGCCAGGCATCACCTATAGGTTGGCCAGTGGCCAGCTGTGGATCGCACCCGGATCGCGCCCACGCCCCGCAAATTTCGCCAGGCCGAGACAAACCCGAGCACGATCCGGACGCGATCCGGAAGCATTTCTCTGCCCAGGCTGGGCCACGAGCGCTGTGTTAGGGCAGCCTAAGTTCCCACGGCGGGCTGTTCGGGTGTTCCATTTTGCTCGTCTTCCTGATGTTTGCTCCTCTCTTCCTGATGTTGCCCTCATAATTCAATTGTCCCCCAAACCGGCCTTCCACACCTTTAGCCAACGGACTGAAAAGGCAATCCCCGTGGTATGACAACCGGTTTAAGGTTCGCAGCGTGTCGCTGGGGCAGTTTTGTGTTCACAAGTGATGAAGGGGGCGGTTGAGAGGTGGTGAGACACTGACCGTAACCACCACCGTTCAAGACTCAAAATGAGACCCTTATGTGGACTGATTTTAAGTTTGGTTCTTGGACAAAAACACAGCGTTCCCCTTTTCGAAGCCGCCCTGACTGCAGCCTGAATTGCAAGCAGTGGTCAGCAGGGTAGGCAATACCCCCCCGGCCAAAAAATGCACGTCCTTCCTTCAGGATTGATAGGCAAGACTAAGCATTTGCATTTTGTGTGTGTTCCTGCATTTCCTTTCCAACCAGCAACAGGTAAGCTTCTTTTACTGCGGGGCTAAGTCTGGTCCAGCGAATTAGGTGGGCAGAATAGAAGAAGTGTGCTGTGACCGCTATAGAGTCCGTCAGAGAGTACAGCCCGGCCTGATGCCACAGCCCAGGAGCCGGCGCACCCAGGTTCAGACAACTTATGTTCGGATCCAACAGCGTGGCATGTTGTTTTGAAAATGTACAATTCCAAACCAACCAGCCTGTTTTTGCACACGACTAAGCCACTTGACAGAGAACTTCTCAGGTTCAGAGTCCGGAGTCCAGCGTCCAAGGCAGCGCGCCCAGAAGTGCAGCCGCGCTTAAGCCCCCTGAAAGTGATTTTTGGGGGCCAAGCAAGAGGTCAAGGGCACGGCAGCTCTGCCGGATAAACAGCTGTAAACATGCAGCCTTGCTCCTTTGACTCAGGCCAGAAGGTGGGGCGGCTACCCTTGGAACACAGGCGTCTACAAGGCGGATGGTTGCCACCAGCTGCACAAGGACGCTTTAACAAGCGAGCACGGCGCAGGCAGTGGAGAGGCCGCTGGGTGGCAGCGAAGACCATGCCCATCATGCCCCAGCCTCAGAGTCACTTTTGTGCGCAATTTGGCCAAGTGCCGCTTGAGAAAAGGGGTCTGGGCCACCCGGATGTTTTCGCTTCAGATCTCAGATTGGCGAACTGTTGTCTGACCAGATCCAACATGTTGCTCCTGGCACCGTAGCAAGCCGGGATTGCGTGAAGATGTGTCATATTTGATTTGGGGGGGGGGCGCCCTTTGAAGCGACCCCGAGAACCCACCTTTGACAAAAGCACTTTCTGCTTGTGTTCCCAAGTTTCCTCGCATCCAGCATCAGCGAATCAGCAAGTCGCCCAGGCTCGCGGAATGCCAGGAGGCCCACGCCCTTCATCAAGGCTGGAGCTTCCACGGCAGACATGATTTCGCCCTTTCCAAAAAACAGAACAAAGCGGTTCAAAGAAGGTGCTGAAACATGATTGAACTAAGGCGCTTAATACGGGATGAGCCAGCTGCGTTTCAGTCATATACCGCAGCTGATTTTCCGGCCCGGGGTACTGCCTGTATCAGCTGGTTTAACCCAAAAAGGAAACCCGGATTCAGTTTGCAAGTGTTTTTTTCTACTCCCTCGCCCATTTGGCTCACAGCAAAATGGCACCGTGTCTTCAAATCTTTACAACAACAACGACAACGACAACAACAACAGGATTTGGGCCCTGGAGCACGTTTGTGTGTGTGTGTGCGTGTCTTTCTCTCTCTCTCTCTATGTTTGTTTGTTCTCTCTCTCTCTCTCTCTCTTTCCCTCTCTCTCACTCACTCTCTCTCTCTCTCTCTCTCTCTCTCTCTCTCTCTCTCTCTCTCTCTCTCTCTCGCTGTTCAGCTATATATATGTGTGTGTGTGTGTCTGTGTATGTATGTTATGTGTCTGTGCGTCTCTCTGCGTGTCTGTCTTTATGTTTGTGTGTCTGTCTTTGTGTGTCTGTGCCTGTCTACGTCTACGTGTGTGTTTTGTTTGTGTGTGTGTCTGTCTTTGCGTGTGCCTGCGACTGTACTTGTTTGGAAATGTGGTATGCTTCAAAGTCTTGCTTATTTTGGTATGTGTGTGCGCGCGTGTCTCTATTTCTGTGCGCGCGCGCCGGACTGCAGGTGCTTCTCGGGCCGACGATGGGGAGCTCGGCGCGGAGTTCGGCACCTGGTTGTCATGGGAGCAGAGTGTTGGCTTGCACTTCCCAATATCAGCGACTGAAAGCGCAGCCAAGTGCACATCCTGTATCAAGTCTTTGGGAAGGAACCCAAGGAATGCGACAGGTCAAGAGTTTGTTGGGGATAATTAAGAGCCCGATTTGCAGAAACTCCTCGCATCAGCTGGGCTGACTGACCTCCCACGTGATTTTCCCAAATGCGAAGGGGTGCAAGCCAAATGAGAAGTCATTCTCTTAGGGGCAATATTTTGCCAGTTGTTCATGTAATCGCTGAGCCCCCTCCCGCATCGCTGTAGCGGGCCGATGCCCGTCACATTTGCAGTTTGGGCCGTCGCCCAAGATCTATGCGCACGTGGGGCGGGAAGACAGGTTCTTGTGGACTTCATGCGCATGTGGGGCGGGAAGACAGGTTCTTTTGACCTGGCAAGCTCATGAGAACAATGCCTCGCCAGGTGTCCACACCAACCATTTTGCAGGCGTGGCCTTCAGAGGGCCAGGTGCCCAGCAACGATCTGGCGTGAAAGCAGCGTTGCTGCAGACAATGTTTCACGTGTCAGGCTCTGTTGGTCCCGGCTATGCACTCGGAGCTTGCGCGCGCTGCCTTGTCCACATGCTGGCCTCTCCGGATCGCGCCCGGATCGCGCCCGGATCGCGCCCGGATCGCGCCTAGTCCCAAAAACCCCACCGCACGAGCCGGCCTCAGCGCTGCTTCCGTAGCCCGTGTATAAGAGGCGCCGGTTGTCGACGGTGGGCTGGGCAGCAAAGCAAAGCGTGCCGCTGCCCACCTGCATCTGGGCCCAGGTCTTTGTGTTGGCACATCCGCTGCTGATGCCCGCGGCTCAGAACCAGAGCTGAGTTGCATTGACGCACGTGACAGAGTGCGCGCTTCTGCATGTTGGCGCTCGATAGCATTTGGCCGTGACTGGGACGCAAACACAGTGTCGGCGAGCTATGACCAAGCAGCTCAACCTTCCAGGCAACCAGGCTGGATGGCTGCTTTCTTGACAGGCTTGGCTTTTGTCCTGGGATCCTTGCCACGTCTTGGCAGGTGGCCATGCCGCGCCACGGGCAGCTTGATGCTGCCGGGAACGTTGTGGCCTTCACACCACACTGCCACCCCACGGAGAAGCCGCGAGGGTTTGCGCTTCGCCTGGCCTGGGCCTTGGAAGCCTGCAGGTTTCTTGCTCTTGAGCCATTAGAAGACAGCACGCAGCGCAGGTCCCTCCAAAAAAGCAGACCGAGAACGCCCC